TTTGAAAACGATGACGTCGCCTACTAAGCATGCTCTTTAGAGCAAAACATGTGCCCGCAGTCTCGCGTATCCTGAGCTTGAATCCTCTTGGCTGTGCTCTTGGGCTTCTCAAACTTATCAACAGTGTTCGCATGGCCAGAAATCCTTGACAGCATGGCTGCCACGCACGCGCATCGATGTCGAACTCGGTCTTAGGTTACGAACGAGTCGCAAAATCACTACAAGGAAAACAGTGCACTTTCAGCTAACCTTCTTTTAATAATTGCTTGAAATGAGACTCATTAGTACCGAAACTAGAGCTTGTTTATTCGCCATGTTTTCATTAATGGTCGATCGGCCGAGAGCACGCGTTGGACTAGGTTTGAATTGTTACGTCATCGTTTTCAAATTTATCCGGATAAGGCGTCCACACGGAGGCGCTTAGCCAGCGTTTTCAAATTTATCCATTTTCGGTGTGTGAAAACGCCGTTTACGTGTGGGTGGAACCCGTAACCGTATAAATATTTATCCGTTTTCAAATTTATCCGGATACGTGTGGACGGGGCCTTAGAACACATCACATTGACCCAACCAGGTCTTAACCTCTGACCCCAGATCCGTTTGTGCGTAGTGGAAAATAACAAGTGCATTTAAAACAAATAGAATGTTAAAATAATGCAAGTAGATAATAGTGTCTGAAATAAAAACCGAAATGAAATTAGATAAAGAAGGAAATTAATAATCAATATACTGACAATATATAAAGTACGAAGTTCTCGCTGTTGTCCTGAAACGCATATGATTTAAGAAAAACTGTTACGGCACTTGACACTGATAATAAATGTCTTCTCTTTGTTTTCCACATGCAACTCTGTAATCTAAGTAACGCACTTTTCAACGGCAACAGCAAAAAACCTGAACCTATTAACCTATACGTAGGTTATTACCAAGAGAAAATAGTGACAAAGGGACATTCATCAATCCTAGACGTCGAGCCAAGACGCATCCTTCAGTTGAGAAGCCTTGAAAAACACCCACCAGCCCTAATGAAAAACAATATCCAAGGCAATATCGTTGAAATGAAGTGTTTTTAAGCCCTAGAATAGCTGAAAGAGACACTGACGTTTCTTGTAGTTCGTAAGCACTTTCCACGTGCAAGGCAAATCATACACATGAATATTAATTTTGAACGCAATTTGAAATTCCAATTAGTTTTATAGCTTTGATAGGCAGAAGCTAACATTGTTTAGAAAGAAAGGCACCGAAGGCTACAGATCGTGGTAAGTACTGTCTGTTTCAAAACAACCGACACAATACTATATATTCGCTACTGTTTCCTTAACATAAGTAAGTTCTTGGAGTTTAAAGCGTCCCACATCTCTCAATATAATCATGTCCTGCTTAACTGATGTAACTTGGCGGAAGGAAATTTAAATGTGTGCGATAGAAAATGAAAAACTAGGGGTTTATAAAGAACAGCCACAAACAGTGAGAACGGTTTGACTTTTTGGATTTTTTTTACAACTGCTAGGCTTGATCAATAGATAAATTGCTTTAAACCAGCAGTAGTAATTTTGATGATTATTTGAGTGAGTTACCCGGCTTATGGAGTATAAAAATCCGGCCTACAACAGAGTCAATCGCCGTAAAACTTTGTCTATCGACCCTGTTTGCGCAGAAATCGAACTGCAATAGCGAAAAATGGAAATTGAGTGTCTACTACACGAGTTTTAGTGAACCCGTTTTTTCTATCATTGGAAGGAAGATGATAAGAGATGTATAGCAATTTAACCAGCTTTTTAGCGTTCCATCTTCAGTTCACGTATTTCAGTTTCTAACTTTCACTACTGATGATGGATTTCAACATGCAAAAAAAAATTCTCTTTGTTTTACAGGAAACGGCAAGCCTAAGTGTTCATCGCTTTTGAGCGGTAAGATTTTCATTCAAAGATCAATCACAGCATAAGTGGAGCTTCTTTCTGTAAAAGGTAAGCTATCTGTGTGTGATGATTCACTCTTCATTTTCCAGTAATCGCGACCTGCGTGACGAAAACAAATACTTAATAAGCAACACGGGTGGGCTTTATGAACGTTGTTGCTTAAATCGACCACATTTCTCCCTACGTGTTCCCTTTAAGGGTATTCATCCTGATGAGAACGAAACATTGTAGCAATGGGGTAAGATCATAAATGGTTCAGCTTGACATTGGTTAAGTTACAATAAAAAATTGATATATCTTTGGCGGATTTGCTAGTGAGTCATCATTCGAATTATTTCAGAAATTCTTCGCGACTTCAGCTAATTTTCATATTCGAAAATTTGGCAAACAAATTTGACGCCAAACGCTTGTATCCCCCTAGGTCTTAAAATGCTCAAATTCCTTTAAAGAAAGTCCGATGCTTAATTTTTTTGACGTTAGAATTATCTTACTTTCAGAAGTTGGAGAAATTTCAATTTCCAAAGATAATCCATTAAAAAAAACCAAGCTGTGGGTTTAAAGCGACGAATTAATAGTAACGGAGGGAATATAACCTCTCCTGACCGAAGCTAATGAATGTTTACTATTCTCACTCTTGTGGTCTGCTATGGATGTGCCTTTAAACAAGTCTCAACGACTGATTTTTTAAAAGATGGGAGGGGAGGGGAGGGGAGGGGAGGGACTGTACCTGTGTTTCATCACAATCGTAAATTGTTGAGGTAGGGGGTGGTGGGAGTTGGGGGGCGGGGAGGGGGTAAAGGTATTTCAGGCCCCCTTGGATATCCCCCGCTGTTATTACTAATTTGTGACGTCATGAAGGAAAATGAAAAGTCCCTTGGAAGATATCGGACGAAAACGATGGAAATAGCAAATGATGAAATTTAAATGAGGCAAATTAAAAAAAAAAATCCAGAACTGATGTTTGATACACTGGCCGTTTCACTAATGGTTTCACTAAATTTGAAGCGAGTTGAAAGCGTCTTTCTATCACCTAGAGGAAGACGGCTATGGATCATACTCGGTTTCAAATTTCACGGCGTCATGAAATCCTGAAATTGCAGGGAGTTTAGCTGTATTTACGCTCAGTGTACTGTTTTTTTCAGTCATGTGGCACTTGTCACCTATATTTCAATTCGTGTTTTTTCCTAACGTATGTATTTCTAATTTTATTCTTGGTAAATAAATGGGAAAATTTGGTGAAATTTTATTTTGTTGCGTGAAGATACTTGGCTATAATACACTCCTCAAGTTTTGAACAATTTTTAGAGAGCACAACGATGTTTTTAATGAAAAAATGCTTTGCTTTCTGATGAAAAAAATGCGGCAATTCTTGATTATCATATGGCGGCCGAGGAAGCCGCCATGAATGTAAAACAAAAATTATATTAAGATGGAGATGATGCTACTGTGTGATATTTTGTCCTCTACTTTGAATAATTCATTACCAGTGAGCAGGCAGTAACTTTTCTTTTTCGAGGCAAAAAAGGAGAAACATATTTGCTGAAATTTATGGGAAAGAAAACGACATCTAGAAATTTTAATTCGGCATTATGGTGAATAACTCTTTAGCGCTGAGCCACTGACTGTGTTTAAAGTTCCCATGAGGAATCGAACCTCAAACCCGCGCTCCGATGCTTAATTAAGTTCTTAGCTTCATGTAATCAATGGATTTACTTTCAGTTTTGTAGATGGCGTGACAAACAGAGCCACTATTTAAGTTGACGAATTCCCGATATTTTTTCGTCGTTAAATTAACCTCTATTGGAAGGTTTCATTCCAATATCTTTGCTTTTACAAAATTAAATATGAAAAGTTTCTTGCTTTAAATGGCGAGTTCAAGTTCATTCAATGAATTTTCATTTTCCAAAAGGTCTCTACCTCGCATGACTCATGTGACAATGTAATGAACACCCTACTGAGCGGAACGAACAGCCAGGGTCTCTCTCTTGGATGAGACTGGTTCCGAGTTTGGGTTTCTAATCAACGATTTCAGGATTACTCGTTGAAAAAAACAAAGCAAAACAAAAAAACCAAAAGCTAAAAAAATGTCTCTTTCGTTTACCACCTGTCTGCCATTCTGATCCAGGCTATAAGAAAAGAGAGCACTACAGTTAGAGAGCCTTGCCAAGGTCTACTATTGAAGCTTTCGAAATTTCTTGGACCACAAACGATCGCCAAATTAAACCCCACGGGCCGGTTATTTACACGAGGTCTCACCCAAACCACGGTTTTATGCAACCAGTAGGTCTCCAGCCTTAATCTGTTAGGTTTCAGACCTCTAGACAATTCTCACAAAAATAAATGTTTGGATAAAAGGTCCAGCTAAATCGAGGTTGTTTATGACGCGGTTTTGTTAAACAAAGGCTAACCTCTGTCTAAATAGTCGGCCCTAAAAGTTTGAGGACTACAAATACTTCTTTTGTATGAATGAAAAAATAAATAAAAAATAACGGAAAACTCTCTGTGTTTCTTTAAAGTAAACCTATACAATCAGTCAATGCAATAGAAATTTTTGACACTGAAAAACAAATGATTGAAAAAACCAAAATTAATAAATAAATGGAGAAATTGGAGAAACTGAATGAATTTCATATCCGCTATAAAGGTCTGGTGCTATGATAGAGTCTGTTACCATTTCAAATATAAAAGCGAGTCACGTTTTTTTGATCTAAAATGAATTACTAAACAAGTGATTACATAAAAAATTAAATTCTGTGCCTTTTTTTTGTGAAATTCCAAAATCAGCCAATTCACTACCAAATTAATTCAAAACAATGCTAACAAACAAATGAACAGAGAAATCGGAGAAAGAAAAAAAAAAAAGGAAGAAAGTATTTTCAATCGTACAGGGGTTGATTTTTAGTGTTAAGTATGAATGAATGTCACATTAGCTATGAAGGTCACACTGTGATGGGTTGGCACTTTCTTAGTGACTATTTACATTTCAAATTTGAAAGGAGTCAAGCTCTGTTGATCTGGAGTGAATTACAAAGTAACAAAAGTTGGGTTACTAAGTTTCAGCGAGCGCGAATTTTACGCGTCCACGAGTAAAAACTTAAATGATATGGATGGACAGCTCGTGTCATTAGAATGAAAATTGGTGATAAACGGAAAGAAGCAGTGGATTAGAGAAACCTGGGAACAGTATTCACATCGCTTAGTTACTAAGCTAGCATCAGTAACAGAAGATTCCGAAGAAATCTTGCATTTGTCAGCTGATAAACTGCAGGAGTGTACTTTGGGAGTTGACTGTAATGATATATCTTAAGCACTTCAAAATTGTTCATAGAGTGTCTTGTTTAAAATAATTGTCTAACATAACTTCTATTGCTGACGTAGATTGAAAGCCTCGCACCAGAAGTCTCTTTGGTGACGTCTTGTAGGATTCCTGTTCCTTTTTCATGGTCTCTGGAGGGTCTCACTTGGAAACAGTTGGAATACTACTTTGAAGCCACGGATACTTGAGGTACTTTCATCTTAATATCCATAACATGACTTTTCTTTGCAACTGTTTGTAATGAATGGAGCAGTTAATTGGAAAATATAGGAAAACATGTTTGTTACGAATCATCTGGAATTTCCTTTCCAGAATTAATGAGAAACTAAGTAAGTTGAGTGATAAGAGCACTTTTCGATTGAGTGTTGTTAAATCAAAACCTAAGTGATCCTAACAGCCAATCAGAAGAAAGAAAAATACCCTTTAAGAGCCAATGAGAACTCAAAGAGTATTCATTTAAAAGCATTTCCTTCACAGCCTCTTATCATTTACGTGTAAGGAAGAACTACTGACGAGCTAAGCCGTCAGCAGCATTTTTGCACGCTGTAAATTTTCTTTAATTACTCGCTTTTTATGTATAATGTTTCCTTCACTTCTTTCAAACTTACAGCAAAGAAGACCACAATGGACAACATAGAAGGAGTTTTAAACACAGTACAAGTGGTCTTGATAGGTATGACGATCGCCAATTTCCTTCTAAACACTGGTTGTTTTTTACCAGCCATAGAGTTGTGTGAGGAATGTTTGATTTTACTAAACAGTCAAGCGCTTGATAAGGATGGTCCAATTACCGACTCAATTCTCGTTAAGAGTATCTACACCATAATGGCCAAAGCAAGAGAGAAATACTTCAGGGAACTCCTTATCCTGCACCAGGACTCTGATGACACCTTCCCACAGGGTAGGTTTAATTTATTACTGGCAAATACACTTCAATTTCAAAAGAAGTTTGTGGAGGCCAGAGAATTTTATAAGGGAGCAATAAAAATCATGGAAACGAATGGCGACAAACAAGGAAAAGCAATTTGTTACAAAAACTTAGCAACATTACTTTATTCCTTTGAAGAATATGACAAATGTAAAAAGTATCTGGAGAAGGCCCTTGCGATTAGAAAGGAAATTGGTGACAGAGTCGGAGAAGCAGTGGATTACAGAGAACTAGGAGGACTGTCAAAAAAACTTGGTAACCATGACCAGGCACAAAAATATTACAAGAAAGCACTTGCCATCACATCGGAAATTGGTGACAGAGAAGGAGAAGCAATGGTTTACAGAAACCTTGGAACAGTGTTTCAATCGCTTGGTAATTATAACAAGGCACAAGAATATTACGAGAAAGCACTTGCTATCACACTGGAAATTGGTGACAGAGAAGGAGAAGCAACGGTTCACGGAGACCTAGGAATAGCGTTACAATCGCTTGGTAATTATAACAAGGCACAAGAACATTACGAGAAAGCACTTGCTATCA